AAACTACTTTTGTGGTTTCTACCACAAAAGATCAATTTTTCTAAAATTTTACTTTCACCAGATTTGTTGCTTGACATAGCCTTTTTTTTTTCTTGAAGATTTTATTTATTTAGTCATGAAAGGCACACAGAGAGACATAGGCAGAGGGAGAAGCAGGCTCAATACAGGGAGCCGGATGTGGGACTCGATCCCAGGACCCCAGGATCATACCCTGAGCCAAAGGCAGATGCTCAACCGCTGAGCCACCCAGGCGTCCCTATAGTTAGCCTTTTTATTGTCTTTCATAAACAGAATTAATTACCAGTATCTTCTTCCAGCTGCCCTAAAGGTGCATATCCTTACTGGGGTTAAGTAACTTTTTATTTTCTTATTTTTAAGATTTATTATTTATTTGAGTGAGCTCACTGGAGGAGGAGTAGAGGGAGAGGGATAAGCAGACTGCACTGAGCAAGGAGCCTGATGTGGGGCACGCTGCCACAACCCTGAGGTTATGACTTGAGCCGAAATCAAGTGTCAGATGCCTAATTGGCTGAGCCACCCAGGCACCTTACTTACTTATTTATTTATATTATTTATTTATTATTTTAATGAGTGGAAGATGTTACTTTGTTTTTTGTTTGTAATTATTTTGTTTATTTATTATGAAAGACAACTCTTTAGAACAGAGGAAAACAGAGCAGCCCGGGTGGCTCAACCGTTTATTACCGCCTTCAGCCCAGGGTGTGATCCTGGAGACCCGAGATCGAATCCCACGTCAGGCTCCCTGCATGGAGCCTGCTTCTCCCTCTGCCTGTGTCTCTGCCTCTCTCTCTGTGTGTCTCTCATGAATAAATAAATCTTTTTTTTTAAAAAAAGGAAAACAAAGTATGATTGACCCTTGAACAACATGGGTTTGAACTACATAGGTTCACATATATGTGAAAATACATCATAGTACTGTAAATGTATTTTCTCTTATTCTCCTAATAACATTTTTTCTCTAGCTTATTTTATTGTAAGAATACAATATGTGATACAGATTTGCAAACTATGTGTTATTGAACTGTTTATATGTTATCAGTAAGGCTTTCAATCAACAATAGGCTATTAGCAGTTAAGTTCTGGGGGAGTCGAAATTTACACGTGAATTCTTGACTGCGTAGAGTGTTGACGCCCTGAATCCTTGCATTGCTCAACGGTCAACTGTACTTGAGTAATAAATGTATTCTCAAACCTAGAGGCCACTTAAATTGGGAACTAATTTGTACTTACGTTTACCTGTGAATAAGAAAATACTCTTTCTCTTTCTTTTCCTCTAAGGTTTCCTAAATGATTTCTGGCACCTAGAATATTACAACCCTGCGTTGAACAATTAATTAAACTAATAGATACATTGCAGTCAGCTTAGTATTTCATCTCTAAGGCCCCATGGCTAACGTATATATTGGTAGCTTTAGACTGAAGAAACCTGGTAGACAGCGCGCCTTATCCAGGTGAACAAAGTTAACCTCATCGGTGAGAGGCCACACCTGGAACTTGGCATTACCTGAGAGGCTGCGGTGTGAAGAACAGCATTATTTCAGTGATATTCCTGCGAAAGATATATGACATCAATCTGATCAAGAGGAAACACCAGACAAATCCCAATGGAGGCACATTGTATAAAATAACTTTCCTGCAGTCTCCAAAAATGAAGGTTATAAAGGTCAAGTCGAGAGGACTGAGGAATTGTGCCAGATTGAAGGAAACTGAAGAAACTTAAGTACAATTTGTGCTCCTGGTTTGGACCCTTTTACTAAAAAGGACATAGAGACAGGTGGTGAAATTTGAATGAGATTTCTGAGTGTGGGGTATATGGACATTTTTTATACTGTTTTTGCAACTTTCCTGTAAGTCTGAAATATTGTTTTTAAAAATGTGTCTTAAAAAAATGTGTCTTCCCCCCTCATTTTGCAGACTTAAATTATTAATTGCAAAAGGAAGATGCTTGGCAATTCAAACAATATCAAAAAAGTAAAAAGTGAAAGTCCTCAGTTCCCCTCCAAATTCTGTTGGCCAGAGGACACAATTGTTAATAACTTAATTAGCCCTTCTAGACTTTACAAATATGTGTAAATTTTTGTTTTATTTTATTTTTCAAAAGCAGGATAGTGTATAATTTGATCTCATCTGTTTTAATGGTCTATCAGTAGTACTCCATTGTATGGAGTATTGTATTGATGGGTGTTAAGTAATTTTCAATTTTATATTATTGCTAATTAGATTACAATGAACATCCTTGTCTGAATGTTTGTCTTTACAGATTTGTGCTAATATTTCTATAGGAAAGATTTTTTTTTTTAAGATTTCATTTATTTATTCATGAGAGCCACAGAGAGAGGCAGAGACCATAGGCAGAGGGAGAAGCAGGCTCCATGCAGGGAACCCGATGTGGGACTCCATCCCCGGACTTCAGGACCATGCCCTGGGCTGAAGGCAGGCACTAAACCACTGAGTCAACCAGGCGTCCCTAGGAAAGATTTTTAAAAGTGGAATTGCTAGATTAGGAGTTTTGCAAGTTTGCTAATATTGATAGATTCTGTGAAATTTTCCTCTAAAAAAGTGGTATTATTTACATTGCTACTGATGGTGATTGAGTAAAAATTCTCCATTTACTAATACTTTTTGTTATGACTCTTAGATTTTCCCCTTTGTAAGGAAAAATTGGGGACTTTTTTGGAGTGTAGTGCCACTAGAATATACATTGGGCTGCCCCCCCACCCTTTTTTTTTTTAAATTGGGTTTCTAGGGCAGCCGCATTGGCCCAGCGGTTTAGCGCTGCCTGCAGCCCGGGGCATGATCCTGGAGATCTGGGATGGAGTCCCGCATCGGGCTCCCGGCATGGGGCCTGCTTCTCCCTCTGCCTGTGTCTCTGCTTCTCTCTCTCTCTCTCTCACTCTGTGTCTCTCATGAATAAATAAAAAATTTAAAAAATCTTTAAAAAAATAAAATAAATTGGGTTTCTAACTGAAGGGCTTGTGTTCTAGTCTGCCACTTTCTGGCACTATTACTTTCTCTAGCTAGTGACCTCGTTTTTTTTGTTGTTGTTGTTTGTTTGTTTTTAATATTTTATTTATTTATTCATGAGAGACACAGATGCAGAGGTACAGGCAGAGGGAGAAGCAGGCTCCCCGCAAGGAGACTGATGCAGGACTTGATCCTGGACCCTGGATCACACCCTGAGCCAAAGGCATACACTCAACCACTGAGCCACCCAGGCATCCCTGTGACCTTTTTTTAAAATTTATTTTATTTCTAATTTATTTAATAGTTTTTTATTTATTATTATAATTTTTAAAGATTTTATGTTTTTATTCATGAGAGACACAGAGAGAGGGGCAGAGACACAGGCAGAGGGAGAAGCAGGCTCCATGCAAGGAGCCCGACGGACTCTATCCTGGGTCTCTAGGGTCATACCCTGAGCCGAAGGTAGACACTTAACCACTGAGCCACCCAGGCATCCCGACCTCTTTTTTTTAAAATGAGGATTTTGCTACCTCATATGATCAGATGAAATAATTTCTTCAAACATATTTTTGACAATCATAAAATAAGATGAGCCATAAAGGAGGAGAATCCTGGCAATCCCGGTAACAGGGTAAGAATTCAACTGTCCACAGAGTTTCCTAGAAGAATGTGTGATGGAAGTATACATTGTGCAGGGCCCCAAACAATAATTAGAGTTCAGTGCCTGCTCAAACCCAAGGTCACAGCTCCTAGCCTTCAGGGTCGGTTGCTCAGTGCTCTCGCTGGCTTAAGCATTTGCTCTCCACCTTCTCAGGTCCTTTGTCATGGGCACAGGAGGAGGGCCCTGTGGAAAAAGAATGTGACTAGTGGCCAGTGTTCATTCTAGCTCTGCAGACATAGATTTGCCTTTCAGACATTTCAAGTCTAATATCTTTGCCTTATAGGTGAGAAAAATTGAGGACAAGTGAAATTAGTTTGCTGTGCGGTAAATACCAGTAGCAAAGTTAGTGCTCAAGGTTTGGTCTGTCGTGGTGCAAATCTAGATTATGTTATTGTCACTGTTGGTCTTGTCTTCCCCAGAGAGACTGAGGTCCCTGAGGGGGACTACACTGTATCTTAAACATTACTTCTTGAATTCCTTAAAAGACTCAGCAGAGAACCATGGACCCAAAAGGTATCCAGAAAATCTGTGATGAAATGAATTAAAAAATGAACACTATTTTTGGTTTATTGTTGTTGCTAAGAAACAAGCATGGGAACGCAACAGGCTACCAGTTAGGTGGCTTTTTTTCTAGGAAGATGCTGGGGCTTGTACTGGAGAGCACAGTGGGATCCAGAATACACTATACACTTGGTCAATTTCCCAAAGGTCCGTGTCTGAGACATTTTAAAAATGAATGAGGAGACTGGGAGTCTTCTGACGGTGCATTTTTTGGTTTTATTTCAACTGGTTGCTAGTATACAGAAGTATAAGATTCATTTCTTTAAAAACCTAAAGTAACCATCAACTCAAACCCATAACTAGTGATTCCATTGTTCAGGAAAGGGGGGAGCCCCAGCCTCATCTACATAACTCAATCTCTTGCTCCAGGAGCAATGTGTAGTCCTAAGGTAAGGTCTTGTCTCCACACTGACACAGCTCATCTCTAGTGGCTGACTTTCTTCCCATGCCTTTGCTGGGCTGGGACTTTCTCAACCCCAAAGGCAGAAAATCAAAATTAGATTCTTGATATTTTGACCTGGCCCTTGAAGTGACATCCCTAAAGATCCGGTAAACTCAACTCAGACTGATGATTATAAATGTAAATCTGGGGGATCCCTGGGTGGCGCAGCGGTTTGGCGCCTGCTTTTGGCCCAGGGAGCGATCCTGGAGACCCGGGATCGAATCCCACGTCAGGCTCTCGGTGCATGGAGCCTGCTTCTCCCTCTGCCTATGTCTCTACCGCTCTCTCTCTATCATAAGTAAAAAAAAAATAAAAAATAAATAAAAATAAATAAAATAAATAAATCTGGGAAGAAAGGCTGGCGCTAAGAGAGGAAGGTCAGCTCCCTCCCCTCCTTTGCCCATCAGTGACCCTGGGTGCCCTGGGGGGCTGAAATGGAAGCAAAGAAGGGGAGCTGAATGTGCATGATCTGATGTCAAGTCCTGGCTAAAATTTTCCTAGCTGTATGCTTTTTACGAGGGTCATTTATCCTCCCTAGGCCCCAGCTCCCTGGCTGTCCGTCATCTCCTGCCTTATCAAGGCAGACAAGTCCATCTGCTAGCATGTAAAAATGAGCTAATGTGACTGTAAACTCCACAGTGCTGCACAGGGGAGAGGTGGAGGAGGAGGACAAAGAAAAGGAATGAAAGGATCAAAGGAAGGGTAAAAAGTAGAGAAGAAAGCAACAGGGTGAAGAGATGGAGCCAAAACGGTACAAGGGGCTTGGATACCACTTCTGGCCTAGGGTCAGGGCTCAGGTGATGACATTAATAATCGATGAGTCCTCTTTTTTTTTTTTTAAGATTTTATTTATTTATTCATGAGAGACACAGAGAGAGAGAGAGAGGGAGAGACAGAGGCAGAGGCAGAAGCAGGCTCTGTGCAGGGAACCCGATGTGGGACTCGATCCTGGGACTCCAGGATCACACCCTGAGCCGAAGGCAGATGCTCAACCGCTGAGCCACCCAGTGAGTCCTCTTACCTACACAGAGGAGAGAGGTGCACATAGACCTGACCTGTAGCCAGTCACCGGGAAAGAAAAATCAATACTCAGACTAATCATTAGGAAGCTACCCTTTATGTGGGTTTCATTCACAGGATCACTTTTTTTTTTTTTTTTTTTTTTTTTTTTATGATAGTCACAGAGAGAGAGAGAGGCAGAGACACAGGCAGAGGGAGAAGCAGGCTCCATGCACCAGGAGCCCGATGTGGGATTCGATCCTGGGTCTCCAGGATAGCACCCTGGGCCAAAGGCAGGCGCCAAACCGCTGCACCACCCAGGGATCCCTGCAGGATCACTTTTAAGGCCTCTAAATCTTCATCTCTCTGGGCAGGAGACAAGCTGCTGAAGAGGCTCCCAGCCTGGCCCTGGAGGAGGTCACATCTTTACACTTCCTTAAGCCACAGAAAACTTGAGCCAAGTGGTGTGGTCATACTCCTCCCCAGGCCTCAGCAGCACAGGAGGGAAGTCGGGCTGTGAAGGGAAAACCAGTACAGGTTATACGTTGCCAGCCCAGGCTGCACCCTTCACCATTCAGGATGGCTTTAGACTGGTCTCTAGACTGGCTCTGAGAACCAGCTGCCAACGTAACAATTGTTTACTATTGGTTTGCAAGGAGATAGAGAACTTCAGCTAGAATGAAAATCAGCTACATCACTGAGCACACGTTACAGCAGGACTTTCCTGATGGAGGCCCTGTATCAATTCACATTCTGGTGCAAGCTGTGAACGTCTGATGAGCTGGTCCTTTCAGGAGCACTACTCTAGGCAGTAGCTAGAAAAAGAGGTCACCAGTAAGCAAATAGGAAGAAAAGAGGATCATTTTAAAAGTGTGGTTGCAGGGAGGGCCTGGGTGGTTCAGTCAGGTGTCTGATTCTTGATTTCTGCTCAGGTCATGATCTCAGGGTGTCAGCTCCATGTTGGGCGTGGAGCTTGCTTAGGATTCTCTTTCTCCCTCCCCTTCTCCCCCACACACCCATCACAAAAAGCGTGGTTCAAAAGATGAGCAGGTATTGACAAGGAGCAACATTAAACTGAATAAAGACTTTGAAGGCACAAAATAGATATAAAAATACATAAATGCTGTGTTAGTAACTTGGCTAAGGGTTTCCTTATCATAACTTGGAGAAGAGAACTACCAACATGAACTTTTGAATCATACAGACCTGATTTGAGTGTCATGACCCTTGTCATACAGAGTGACCTTGGACACAACAGCACTGAAAAGCTGGGCTGGAGCTTTACCTGATGGACTGCATCAGGCCAGTTCTGGGTCTCGAGACAGAAACCGGAGTGCTTGGGATAGACTGCTCCACTCTTGCCCTTCAGCGTGCCATCCAGGAAGTTGCCTGTGTAAAACTGGATCCCAGGCTGGGTAGTGTACACTTCCAGGACACGGCCACTTCCAGCATGATGGACCCTGGGAAGAAAGCAAATCACGTAAGTACAGGACAGAAAAGCTAGCTGGGACAAGCAGAAGCTGGGAAGCAGCCTTTGAGACAGTAATCAGACCCAGCCCCAGAGCAGGGACTGGGAGACAAAGATGAGAGCATGATGGGCAATTCTCGCAGTCTCCTGGGTGAGGCGTGAGCAGGTGGTTCTGAAGATCCTTCAATAGCAAGCTCTCACTGTGATCTTGGCCTCTCTGGGGAAGGCTCACCCCAGCTAGATATATATGTATGTATGTCTGTTGGGGCAGTCAGGTTGAAAAGACGCAGTTTTCAGGTTCTGGAGGGGCTCAGATTCTTGCTCTTAAACAGTTGGTGCTCTCGGCTTGGCTTGGCAAAACCACCAGCTATGTCTTTTGAAAGAGAAGAGATGCTTTTCTAAATTAAACCACTCCCTTTCCCTCGGGCTAGAACAGGTCGTACTCTGTGGTCAGATCTCTCCTGAGAACAGCTGTACCATCAGTTTCTGCTAGATTCACTGTTTCCTTTTTTTTTTTTTTTTTTTTTTTTTAAGCAGGCCTCTACAGAGCTGAGAGTAGCCACCTGGTCCCATACTTGGTGTTGAAGGGATATGGATAAAGGAAAGCTTCAGTCTTACCCTCTTACTGAGAGGTAAAACATTCCAACTATGCACAGTCAGTCAAAAGGTTCAGGGAAAGCTGTTTGGGAAGGGGAGGGCCAGGATTTGAATACTGGAGAGGAGGCAGGAGAGTCTCCTCGAGGTGGGGGCAGTAGAGAGAGAAGTGTGAACATTAGTCAAGCGGAGGAGAGCAGACTCCATCTGGAAGAACACGGACTGGGGCTCTGAGAGAGAGAAAGTTTTCGAAGCTTCTACTAGAGTCTGAACCATTTTCTCTGCTTTACTTACCATCCATTTCTTCTACAGACATTTGTTATTTGCTAGTGCCAAGCAGGGTGTTAGGGACTAGGGTAGAGATGGGGGGACTCACAGAGATGAGACGGCATGAGGAGCTCAGAGTCTAGTGAGGAGAAGAGTGCACGCAGACGCCTATCGGACAAGGCTGCCGGTGGCGGGTGCTCTGGGAGAAGTGCAGCCTCTGACTTTCCATGGAAGTAGACAGGGCACGAATCACAAATGAACAAAGGACAGAGGGCTCCAGAAGTTCAAGGGAAGCAGAGGTGACTTCAGTCAGGAGGAATCAGGGCTTCTAATAAAAGATGGTCCTTAAAGAACAGGCACAGATGGGGAGAGAGGGAGCAAAGAGAGGCAGGATTGCTAGGTGGGAGCCCAGGGATAATGGCGTGGTGGGGGATGGGGGGATGGCTCCATGGAGCTACTCTGTGGAGCAGGAGCTTTGAGAAGACCGAGGATGTGGTATTTGGTCCCTGCGGCATAGTAAATGCTATTGATATGGCCAGAGCAGAAGCTCCTCGTATAGGAGATGGAATCTCTTCTTCCCTACGGAGACAGTAAGTGGAAAGGACCTACCGTGCACAAAAGTGCTTTTCTTTAGATCCCTTCAGACAGAAATTGTGGTCGAAGCCATTGATATGGAACTCCTGCAGGTGTTTTCCAAGCTCGACTGGCTTCCTCAGGTCAAACACTGTTCCTTGTACTGGAGCAACTTCTCCTGGTGGGAAGAGGCAGATAAAAGGGCAGCAGGCTGGAGTACTCTTCCTCTGGCCATGCTTTCTTGAAAGAGTAGAGGGACTCTTATTTCAGAGCCTTACACCCTGATCCAGTTCAGTTTCTGTATTTATTCAATTTTTTTCAAAAATTTGAACATAGTTAACATACTACTGCATGAGTTTCAGGTGTGCAACATAGTGAATCAGCTTCTTTACATTATGCTGTGCTCACCGTGAGTGTAGCTCCCATCTGTCACCATACAACGCTATTACAGTACCACTGACTAGTCCCTATGCTGTGCCTTTCATTCCTATGATTTATTCATTTCATAACTGGAAGCCCAGTTTAGTTTCTTTAAAAGTTTTCTTTTGTCCTAGAACTGTATCATATATTTAAAGGCGAACACAGGGAATCCCTGGGTGGCTCAGCGGTTTAGTACCTGCCGTCGGCCCAGGGCGTGATCCTGGGGTCCTGGGATCGAGTCTCGCATCTGGCTCCCTGTGTGGAGCCTGCTTCTCCTTCTGCCTGTGTCTCTGCCTCTCTCTCTCTGTGTGTGTGTCTCATGAATAAATAAATTAAAGTGAATACAAAAGCTAGTTAACATACTCTTTTAGGGCTACAAATACTTTTTCCTTTCATGTGGCCAGATGGAGATATTTTAGGAACTTGGTTTCTACGCTACTTTAGAGGAGAGAGAGGTAGCATGCAAAATGGGTCTGAAACCTGAGGAGGCTAGGAAAAATCAGGAACTTGTACCTTACCATTAAAAGATTTAAACAAGTAAAAGGAGAACCAACTTTAGCCACTATAATAATTTAGTTCTGCTTTTGTGTGTTCCTAAATACTAAAGAGGAAACACAAATTTGCTATCTTTGGGTGAAAGGAGGCATCCTTTTCTTAGACTTGGAGCTGCTGTTCAGAAACATAGTCCTGGTATGTGAGGACTGGAATCTGTGAGTTCATGCTGAGCTGCGAGAATGCCTGGGGTCCAAAGCACCCAAGGGGGACACAGAGGCCTGGCCAATGCCATCCTAGTGCACATCTGGTGTCCACTGTTTGACCAAGGGAGTTTGGGAAGCACACAAAAGAATTCTTCCCATACCAGAGTCAGCTTTAGGAAAAATTAAGTAGCATTCTTTTTGAAAATATCCTTTAAAACCATCTGTTTCCTTTACCTTAGTTCTGCTTGTCTGAAAAAGAATTTTTGAATGGGTAATATTTGCACATGTAATCATTTTAAAAAGTAACAAATGTAAAAGGTACACAATACCATAAAACCAAAACAATCTCTATCTTTGTTCCCCACAGATCAAACTTCAACAGAAGCAACTACTGTTGCTTGTTCCTCACAAATCCTTCCAGAGACATTACAAAGATATCCAAATACTAAATGCAGACCCATGCACGCATACACAAAGATACAGCTTGTTTCCACCTTGATCTTAAAAAAAAAAAAAAGACTTTATTTATTCACGAGAGACTGAAGAGTCAGAGACATAGGCAGAGGGAGAAGCAGGCTCCCAGCGCAGAACCCGATTCAGGACTCCATCCCAGGACCCTGGGATCACGACCTAAGCCAAAGGCAGATGCTCAATCACTGAGCCACCCAGGTGTCCCTCCACCTTGATCTTTTTACTCAGTTTGTCTTGGAGGTTGCTGCTAAATTTATTCCTATGTATTCATTAGACAACTCAACGCATTCATATTTCTGTTTTCTATGATAATCTATTTAAAATTTATTTTCTAGTGTCATAAATACAAATTTATATTTTTCTAGAAATGTATGCATTCCATCTATATTACTTCCAATTTATTTGTAGGGTCGAGGAAGACCGTAACTTATGATCCTTTCAATTTCACCTGTGGTTATTGGCCTGTGTTCTTTTCTAACTGTGCACTGAATAAGTTAGCTAATGCTTTATCTATTTTATTTTTTTCTCCTCTTTTTAAAATCATAATTTCTGCTTTTATTTGTATTAAATTTTTTTGTTCTTTTGGGTTTATTTTGTTATTTTTCAAATATCTTGGATAGGTTCCTAATTAATGTATTTTCACATATTTTTATTTTTTAAAAAAGAATTTATTTATTTATTCATGGGAGACACAAAGAGAGAGAGAAAGAGGCAGAGACCTAAGCAGCGGGAGAAGCAGACTCCCCGCAAGGAGCCAGCCCAATGTGGGATTTGGTCCCGGATTCCGGGATCAGGACCTGAGCCGAAGGCAGATGCTCAACCGCTGAGCCATTCAGGCATCCCATATTTTCACATATTTTTAAATTAGTGTAAGTATTTAGTGCTACAATGTTTTTCTGAGCAATAGGCTTTATATCACATGTAGGAGTTTCCATTATATATAATTATAACATCATATTTCCATTTATTATACATTCCAATGTATATTGTGTATATATTTACATTATATATAATTATGATGTGATTTTCTAGATGTTACTAGTTTCAGGGTTTGAATTCCCTTTTGATCCAAGAATTATTAAGAGTTAAAACATTTCTAGGTCAGTATTGGCTCTATTACTCCTATTTTGTGAAGCTACCTGTGGTTTTCTTTATGGTCTCAGATATGGTGAACTTTGTGAATTGTATTCTTTATCATTACAAGGTGTCTTTCCTTTATATAAATTTAATGCTTTCTTTCCTGAAATCAGTCTTTACTGATATTAAGATTGAGACCCCTGCCACTTTGGCTTTCATCTGCTTGGTTTGCTTTTGAAATCTCATATTTTAACCTTCCCCACAACTTGGTTGTACACAGCATTCCTTAGGGTTTTGCTTTGTGATTTAATCTGAGAAACTTTAATAGAGGCATTTTATGGCATTACTATGACATACATATGTTCTAAGTATTCTTAGTTTTGTCATTACATTTTATGGTTGCTTTCTGTGTTTATGAATTTTGTTGTTGCTTACTTTCTAAAATCTTGTATTATATGGTCTGTGTGTGTGTCTTATAAGTTCAAAAGTTTGTAATTTTGTTTAAGTAGTTACATCTATCTATATATAAATAACTTCAATATACTTAATCCTCTGTTTCTTAGACTCTGCTAAGCTTTTCCTTTCTCACTCTCCTTTTCTTTGCTACCTGACTTGAGTTCTGATGCTTTCAACTCTTAAGAATCCTAATAAAGCCACTTTTGTTTCCCAGTAGATGGTGCTAGAGAGACACAATATAAAGAGCTTGCTTTACAGACATCCGCCTCGGGGTTCATAGTCCTCTAAACCCTCATCAGTTCTGCAAAAATGAATAATTGAACTTTTTGGGTACCACAGGCCCAAGGCCAAATCCTGTATGGTAATGACCCTGCGGGTGCTACTGTCTTGAAAAGTCTGGGTGACCAACCACCTCACACTGATTTTTAAAAAGGTAAAATGCTTCCTTATGAAAGAATTAATCTGGGAAAAAGTAGCAGCTGTTTTCATGGGTTCCAGAAGATTATTTTAGTCTTACCAACCCATATTCTGAGTATTAATTTACATTACACTTTCTTCCCTACCCTTATATGGTATTCACAATATTTAGTTCCTTAAAACCATGCTTGACTTAAAATCTAACCCTTATATGACAGTCCCAATGTAATATTGCACAAGTCGGCCAAGATTACTTATTTCTCCTCACTTTATGTCATGAAATTTTCATGAAGGAGGAAGCCAGGGCACATTTCAGTGCATATTTACCTGGTATTGATCTACAAATCAATGTTTATGTTAACTTTTTTCTCTGTAAAATGAAGCTATTATTTGCAGCTTTATATATTACATGTGAATATATGATAAATGGTTTCAGGTGGGTGGCATCAATAAACAGGTCAAATTTCAGGATAACATATGTAACACAAAGGAGAGCCTAGAGGGGATAAGACTTCAAGGATGGCAGAGAAACCCTGACTTATATTTGAGAAACTTGGGATAAATCTAAAATGAGATCTTCTGCTGAATGAGAAGAAAAAAAGAGAGAGGGATTCCAATCCATCTTTTTCCAGCCTCATGCCCTGAAACATGTACCTCATGTACCCAATAATTGGGCATAATGAAAACATGGACTTTGTCTCCCAGATTCACTATGGCTCTGGGCCTTTTCTCATAACTGGAATGTCCTCTCTGTGCCTACCTCCACCACACCTTGCAAAGTTGTGTAAGAATACTTACTCTCTATAGCCATTTCCTCTGTGAAGGATTCAAGCTCTACAGCTACAACTAATCTCCTTTTCTACTTTGTTCCTATCACACTTCGAAACATACCTTCTTCAAAACATTTATCACATTAGGCATAATTATAGGATTTTATCAAACTCCGAGAGGGCAGGGATTGTGTCCTTTTATCTTTGTACCTTCTAAGCATGCAACGGCCCTTTACTTGATTGAAAAACTAATGAATGAAGTAGAGGCAGAAAAAGCAGGGACAACTGTGAATGTTGTAGCATCCTGTGTCAAAGTCAGAATTAACGATCTAGAAAGGGCCTTCCGAATTACCTCATGCAGTCCTCTTGCTTCGCAGATAAGATTGGGACTCAGACAGCTAAAAGGACTTGCCCAAGGTGACACATCTCCTTTGTGTCAGTCTCCAGGCTTCTCACCCTGGAGTGACTTGGTCACAGCCCTTTCCACCACCAAGCCCCCAAGTGTTCTTGATTTTTCAAAGGGTTTGGAAAATCAATGTGCTGTTCTTCTAATTTTGGTTTAACTGCATATGTGACTTTGTGCTTTGGTGCTAAGAATAGAAGATGTCAAAATAGCTCAGCAACGCTGAGTGTACAGAAAATGAAGCGGAAATGGAAAGGGTGCCCTCAGAGAGGATGTCACATCACCAGACTTCAGTTTTGAAGCTACCAGAAAGCTGAGGTGTCAGCAGAGAGAAGCTGTTGTCTGAAGAAGATATATTTTTTTAAGATTTTATTTATTTTTTCATGAAAGACGCAGAGACACAGGCAGAGGGAGAAGCAGGCTCCCCACGGGGAGCCCGATGCGGGACTCAATCCTGGGACCCCAT